GCAGACTTCCATTTTACTATTAGCTTACAGTTCCATCTCCAGCTAAGACAAAAGCAGGTCACAGCTGGTGAATATTCCTATTCCAACATATAGAAAGAAGACAAAAATGTATTTAAAGACAATGGAGAGCTATCAAAGCAATGAGATCCAGATGAACAAAAACTGAAAAAATAGAACACTTTCCAGGTGAGGCTGAGGGTGTGTCTCAAACGGTCAGCCTGAGGGGTGAGTCCAGGTGAGCTGACAACTGCCATTTCCTCCCTTGGGATAATTTGCAGATTCTAGGTACAGGCTGAGGATCAGGATTGGTCTGGGAAAGAAATCCTACTAAGAAAAGGAACACAGAAAAAGAACTGTTGACAATTATGAGTCTCTCTCCTCAAAATTTAAAAGTGAGACTAAACAAGGTATGAAAGGGTAAAAGAGAACTTCCTACAGCCTTTGAGGTTAGGTAACAGTCTGCAAGGTTTTCAATCAAAATCCCAGAACAGTGCTACTTGCAGAAAGGTATAAGTCAAATTAAAATGTAATTCAGTCTTAACCCAGTTCAATCCTGATTAGATTAATTCTCTATAGATTTGACATAGGTAAATCAAACACTCTTGAAAAAGCACCACTTCAGCATCTGTCCTTCTTTCATATGTGGATTTTATATACTGTATGCACATGGCACATGATCAAACTTACGTGACATGTGAAGAGGCAGGAAAATGCAAGTGATAAAAGAATGAACAGACAGTAACAGAAGCAGACCAATAGATGATCCAGGTAAAAGTTAGCAGACAGAGTTTAAAGTACGTTTTATTTTTTTAAATTCAGGAAAATAGACAAAATGAATAAATTTTTTGTAGAAGTCTACAATGTACATGAAAAAAACTAAAACTGATAAGGGCAAAAAAAGGCATGCTAATTTTAGGCCAAGTACAAGAAAAGATTTAAAGTAATATTGTAGGATATACTATGCTGGCATTTTAATATTACCTCTCCATAGTCCACTGTGGTACTATTTCAGGTACCTTGAATGCAAGAATGTTTACTTGTGTTGTCAGTGGGAACCACATAGGCCTGGAGGCATTCTACTAAAAGACAGAAAGGGGAAAGAGTAAAATAGTATGGCTAAATGTTGTCCTGAGTAATTATGATCCTCCCAGAATGTAGTTATAGTCACAAAGGAATGGTGTGGGCAGTGGAACAGTTCCAATTAAGGCTGGAAACAGATCAAAGACAATGAGGAACAAAAAAATGGCTGTGATTATTATTTTAGCTAAATTGAGTCTCTTCCCTGAATCCAATATATTAGATTACTGGGACAAGAAAAGTAAAGATGTTGCTTTTTTGCACCAAGTGTTAAAAATGAAAATTACAGGAATTGTTCAATCTGGGTGTAATTCAGCAATTTTATAAAAGGACAAGGTCCTAGGGCAGGTAGGTGTTTTCCTTGATAAGGTGAATAATAAGAATGTATCATATACACAAAGGCTTTGAGTACCAGAGTCCTGTAGCAGAGTCCCCTCAAAAACCTAACAACTGTAAATGCAGGCACCAGATAAAAAACAAGTGTCTTGCAAAGTGCCTTTTGAAGTCTATTTCACAGGACCCTTGACCTCATCAGAAATACTTATAAAACAGAGCACACAGAATGCACAAATTGGATGTCAAGGTTGAGGAAAGTATCTATTTACTCATAACCTCAAAGTCCTAATTTGCATTTATAAAAGGTTTCTTGCTCTAATTGACTTTGCAATTAAATGTTTTACATCTGAATAAACTCAATTATGTATAACCATGTTACCCAGCAGAAATTTTTTCTATGTGAGGTAGAATATACAATTTGTCTACAATTAAGTGTCCATTCTCTTGGGAAAAATAAAAGGAAAATGAAGAAACTGAGTTTCTGTAAATAGCTCAAATAAATTACATTTATGGCTACAGTGCTTGATAGCCTACAATCTAACGTGATTTTAATGGACTTAGATGTTATACTGTAAAGTATTCATATCATATAGAACCACTCCCTTTCACAGGTGTTAACAGCAGAGTCAGTGGATTCCCAGGATCTACTCATCAATACTGAGGAAGCTGACTCAAAAATAGGCTATTCTATACACACACACACACACACACACACACTCTCTCTCTCTCTCTCTCTCTCTCTCTCTCCCCTATCCATGAATGAGAGGAAGAGATTAACTTCTTCTGAAATAAAGAAAATGCACTGTTAAGAAATGAAGAATACGATAGCTTGGGTTCAAAAAGACCTCTTTAACTACTATTGTTTATCCGGACAAGTAAGAAAATATAAATATAAGGTTAGAAAGAAAAATTAGCATCCACATAAAGTTAATTACTCTACTGTAAAACAAAATCCCAATGTCAATGATAGCATTAAAAGCAAACTTATCAAGACACCTGTAATACGATGTCACTGAGGAAAACTGGGTGACAATAAAATACGGATAGGAGGGAGACTTTTCTTTCCCCTATATAATCTGAGCTTGGCAGCATGTTCAAAGACCTGGGACTCTGCAAAACACACACACACACACACACACACACACACACACATCAGTTTAATAACCTGATGTAGACTTTTCAATCATGCAGACATATGATATACTGTTTTATGCTTTTAAGTAACAGACTTTCTGAAGAAGGCAAAAAGTGGTAAGTTGGTGGAATGGCTCAAGTAGTAGAGCACCTGCCTATCAGCATGAGGCCCTCAGTTCAAACCTCATTACCACCAAAAACAGAAAGTCATGAATATATGTATTTTGAAGACACAACGCTTTTTTTTGAGACAGGGTCTCACTATTGTAGTCCAGGCTGGCCTCAAATTCACAATTCTACCTCAGCCTCCAAGAGGTGGGATTAAACACATGCACCACTACACCCAACCCAGAATTGCCTTTTAACAGAAAATATGACTTCAAAGAACACAAAAACGAAATAGCTTTATAATAAGTACGTAAGAATTAAACTGTTAAAAAATTCTGTGCTGGTTATAAAAACATATTTTTTATTTTACAGATACTTTTTTTTTTTTTTGTCTTTTTTCTTTTTTGGTGCTGGGATCGAACCCAGGGCCTTGAGCATGCTAGGCAAGCGCTGTACCACCAAGCTACATCCCAGCCCTTATTTTACAGATACTTTAACAGATACTTTTATAGATAAATGTTAGAGAAAATATAGGACATTTCTTTTTTAGGTCATCCATAAATAACCACTATTAATTTGGTGTATTTCTCCCTAAAAAGTTGTCACGATTAAGCATAACATGTTTAGATATATGATTTATCAAACAAACAATTTCTGGTTTGGTAACATGAATAGTAAACCTAACAAAAAGCTCTTTCTACAGTCATCAAACTAATCATTATATTCTTAAATCTAAATATGTGATATACTACTAGATTTTCCGTAGCTGAATAATCTTTGAATGGTTGCAATAAACTTTATCTTGTCATGTTTGTCTTTTTTTTTTAAATAAACCACTGAATTATAGTTTTTGATACTTATAACTTTTACATCTATGAGTGAGATTGACAGATATTTTTCTTTTACTATTCTTGTTCAACTGTGGTTCAAATAAGTTGAGTAAGTTTTATTATTAGAGGTAAGGAAACTAAGGGTCAGGATTGGTTTCTTTATAATCTTTTTGCTACTATAAAAAATACTGCAAGAATATGAGAAGCTTTTTACTGTATTATTAATTATTTCCTTAGGATGAAAGATTTTTAAAAATGTGATTGTATGGTCAAAGCACCACCTTAGAAAAGTCCTTACAAGCCCTTAACACTTATAAAAACAAATTGGAAGGGCATAAGGAAAGGGTGAAGGAGAGCAAATAGGCTGAAAAAGTTCATATTTATGTATGAAAATAGAATAATGAAACCTGTTGAAATTGCTCTAAAAGAGGTGGGAGGACAGATAAAGGAGAAAGATGGAGGGGGTAAATCTAAGATATATTATAAGCACTTACATAAATGTCACAATGTATCCACTGTACAACTATAATATGGTAATAAAACAAACTCTGCATTCCTAAACATGGATATATAGTGACGATCACAAAACTACCATCTTAGATCCCATAGTAACTTGCTTTTAATTTTATAGAACTTTATCCCTACCAAGTTCCATCTTGCTTTATTGTAGCTAATATGTATTGAAAGCCATTTTTCTTATGTCTGATTCTTTACTAAGTCTCAGTTGCCATTCTGATTTTATGACTGAGTTGTCTCCCTTTCCTCAGTTTTAAAAATGTTGAGAGAGAAAAACTTCATGGAACTTTCTATTATTTAGCACACAGCAGCTTACTAAGTAAAGTTCTACCCTGAATTTTGTGTCACTACACACAATGGTAGGAAGGAAACAGTAGTGATATGTATCTCTACAGCTTCCAAACCTTCAAAGGCAGCAAAATTAATTAGGTGAGGGGAGTAGAAGGGACATAAAGCCAAGACTGTTTCTTCCCTAACCTTAATTACACTCTAGTATCAGTGGAACACAAGATACAAAGGAGTTGACAGCTAAAAGTCAACAAAGTAGATATTTTAGCTATAAACACCCCCCATTTTAAAAAATCAGCATGTTCTTTATCAAGTGAACTCCTTTGTATTTTTAGGTTTGTAAACTCTGAAGGTAGGCATCTTATTAGTTACTTGCAAGTAAAAGAGCTTAAATGAAAGCTTACATTGAAGTCATTTTGTATGACATTTTAAATAACTGTATTTAAACTACAGAATTATATTTATCCCTAACACACCTTTTCCATTTCCACTCCCTTTTTTATACTACATAAATAAGAGTTGATTGAATTTCAACTAAAATTGTTTTTGTTTAAGGATATTTAGTAATTAAGAAATTAATAAATGTGACATAATTTTTCTACTACAAAAAGTTATAATACATGTGGCATCAAACTAGTATTGAGAAGCTCATTTTTATTTTTGAAAATGTGACCTCCCCAGTCCCACATGGATCACTTGCAACCATCAGACCGCACTACTGGCTGCAGCTCCTGAAAGAGCTGCACTCTGCAGCATCTCCATGGAGCACCTCACTGCAATGGCAAGGAAGCCCTGGGTGATGCAGTGTGGACCATGCTCCACCCTTGCCTGTACCACCATGCTCCCTTTGATGAGCTGATGCCCACTGGTCTGTTTACTTCCACTCTAGACAGCCTTAGACTCCATTTCCTCATGCTGGCCAGAGCATGCTTTCCTCAAGCTGCCTTCTGGGCCTTCTGCACCGAAGACTTTTCAATGACTCCAGACACCCCAATCACACTCAAGTTAAGTGTGAAGCCCCTAACACAGCCTACTGAGTCCCTTCTACCTTTAGAATGTCTGACATCTCCTGCTCCTCACTGTAACTCTAAGGACACCTGATCACCCCCAGCCTCCACACTATAATGCTGTTCTTGAAACAGTTCTCCTGATTAATTCCTCCCCTATACCAGAGACTCAAGTCAGGCACCAAGACTGCCCCAGAATTAAGCTTCCCTAAGCCTCCTTGGGACAGAACTCCCTGGGCATACCACATCTTATAAAATTACTTTTTAAAGTTTATCTCCCTTTCAAGAAAAAGCAAGCAACTCAAGAACAAATTCCAGTGAGGAAAAGCACATGGGCCATGTAGTGAGCATTTAATAAATGTTTACTAAACTGAAATGCCACCTATACAAGAGAAATTAACAAATAAAGCTTGACTTATTCTTAGTCAGTTCACCAGCAAGTTCTGTGAGCTCTACTTCCAAAACACATCCAAGTCCATTCATTTTGCATGCTAGCATAGGCACACCAGTCAGTCAGCCTCCATCACCTCACATTTAGACACCTGTCACAACCTGATGTCCCTGCTTCCATCTCCTTTGAGACACATATAAACACACACACACTCATGTGCCACCTTCCACCCCCCCCCCAGCAATTGTCTCCATTAGCTAGAATGGTCTTGCTAAAATGTAAATTTCTTAAATCCTTTTTTTTTTAAATGGGAGTATTATTCATTAAAAAAAAAACCTTATTTGCTTCCTGTTTTATGTAGACCAACATTCAAACTCCCACCACTCATCATGCTCTGCATGAACAGACTCCTTCCAAGTTTTCTCCTCCTCCTCCTTTTAAGTACTCCAACATGAGAAACAATGTCCCACCCCCAGAGTCTTTATTCTAGCTCTTTCCTCTGTCTAGAAGACTACTGCTCAACTAGCTGCTGCTCCTCAGAGCTCAACTCAAGCACCACACACACTCCAAGCCAAAGCAGCCTCCTCCATCCCTTGGGTATTCTCTATCATATTGCTGCGCCACTGTCTCTTTTGCAAGCATTGCCACCTCAATTTGCGTTAATCTCTTCACTTGTTTAGAGTGCATCTACCCCTCAGGAGTACAAGAACTGTGCATACTGTGCATCACTGTATCCTCAAGTGTCTGGAAACAGTGCCTTATACACCGCAAGCACTCCAAAAGCATTCATAAGCAAAAGCATAAACTAAGTAAGGTGACTTATTTAAGATGTACATGATGCAAAACTTAGTCTACAAAACAAGGCAG